AAAATATAATAATATCCCAATGATACTAAAACAACACTGATGTATATATACAAACTTTCCCCAATTTTTCTGACAGAAAGTATTTTCTTTTAAAGCCACACATAACCAGTGAAGTATAAAACCCTTGTTTTAGTACAGTACATGGTTGACAGGTGATATCAGTGTGGATATCAGAACAGATCAGCGATTATACTACACATGCGATGTAGCCACATGTGTCTGTCCTTTAATGGGGTTTAAATGATTGCTACACAAAATGTTTAGTACTCCGTCTACACCAGCATGTAGCGCTGACCACTTGTGATCACCCACTTGACATTATTATTCAAAAGGGCTTTTTGTTGGACAGAACTTTGTATTATGTCCCTGAGCACAAGATGGGTCATCAATATGTTTGGCCCAATTTTTTTGGTCCATTTTTATTACAATTTTTTCTGCTACTAGCAGTTTACTTCTTAAAGTGAAAACTGTAAGATTATCATTTAAAAGAAGAAATCATTCTAATATGCTTAAAACATTTCTTATTTTATTATATATCTTATTATATTATATTATTATTTTTGTGTAAGCTGTAATATTTTTTCCCAGGATTCTTTGATGAATAAAACAATAGCATTTATTTGAAATATAATATTTTTGCAGCTTTTTGCTATCACTTTTGATCAATTTAATGTCCTTTAATTCATCCTGTATGATATTCTGTATCTATAAAACTAAAGTTGCAATAAACTGTTCTAGATTATTCATAATCTGTTTATTTATATCACAAGAGTATTGCACTTGTGAATATATTTGAACAAAATTTCTGCCCATTTCACCTCTTTTCAGGGTGTTCGGCTTCCCTGTCCATTACACAGACGTGTCAAACATGAGTCGTCTGGCCAGGCAGAGGCTGCTGGGAAGGTCGTGGAGCGTCCCGGTCATCCGTCACTTGTTTGCACCACTCAAAGAGTATTTCGCCTGCGTCTGAACTCAAATCCAGTACAGATGAGAAAAATCTAAACCGAAGTTATACCAAGAGCTTTGAAACCAAGCTCTCGTATGTTATTTGCAAGTTCGACATCAGAAAAATAGGTATTTCATGTTTTGTTTCGATTTTTTTCTTCTGGTTTGGAATAATTGACTCTTTGTTTAATTCTATTTAATTTTTTTTATTATTATTAGTTTTACAGTTTAGCAGTGTTATCTGGTATTTTAATTGATTTATGTGTGCAAGCTATACTTGAGACAAGGCCTCCTTTTAAGGCACTGAGAGACGATGTTATAATCCAAGGCAGAAACGAGAAATTCGATGAGACGGAAATCGCATTTAGTTCACCCAAGCATTTCGACTCCTGAATTTTCGACTATCGGGTCGTGGATTGATCTAATTCTCATGGTGCGCGCCTTTCCTCTCCTTCAGCGTCTGAGCCTTGGTTAGAGCGGGGAAAAAAGTCTTTCTCTTAGGATCAGGGGAGCTCTGTCTTAACCAATCCAAAACACCAGATCACAAATACCTCTTTGTTTACAGTTTCTATACATAACTGAAGGTAATAAAGGTACTACTGTAATAGGTGACAATATGGTGCTTCAAGGTGGTGAAAAACATTGCAACTCATGTGGTGCTACTACTCGAAAAAAGATCATGGGGTCACGTTTTGTACCGTCGCCAGGGAAAACGAACGACTGAAACCGTAAAAAAAAAAAGGGTCTGCCACATCTCATTTTATATCTTTTACAGCATTTTTGTACAATATTCTCTGGTGCTCTTTTCAAAATAAAGACAAAAAACACGCCTCAGCCTTTCAATCTTTGAGGTCTGCTTCCTTCAGTATGCCTGCAATCCGAACGTATGAAACCAGCCACATGGGCGGTGATGTTTTTGTCATCCATACCTTGAAAACAAAGGCTGTGGTGAGCTACTTTTTTTGAAGGGTCACACAGGCCAGAATCATTACTGTACAACTCTTAGCATGCGTGGCGGCCGCAGGAAGAATGGCGTCGGTCATATATATTGTCGGCCAGGTGAATCAGCCTTCAACTGCGGCGTCCGCAGGCTATTCTCAGTCAGGTGCAAACTTTAAAGGTGCGGCTTCACAATGCTCTTCTACCTTTTACTAGCAATTTTTTGTGCTGTGTTACCAACAATATCGAGCACTTTTGTATATGTATACGTCTTTATTTCTTTGATATTTTTTTTTAAATCTTTCTCCTTGATTCTTGTGAATTGGTTATTTTTAATGATGTGAATTTCTTGCCGTTATACAAGGTAATACTTTGTTGTGTACAGTAGGGCTGTGCCAATAGATGTGAACGATTGAGCTAGGATAGAATCACTCCGTCTGTCGCGCCGGTGGTGACGGGGCCGAATTCCAATAGCACCGCTCTCATGTTTCCATGTGCTACGGAGTCGCTTTATCATAACTCGCTTCGAGAAATGGTGTCTGCTCACGGTTCTTACTGCTATATAATCCCAAAGTGAGTGTGTTTGTTAAATATCACTGTAGGAAAAGTAGTTAACTACGTCTGGTCCCTAGCGTAGATCTGAAAACATTATTATGTTTGCCAATGGTGAATGTTGACCATGTCAATAATTTAATTTTCACGCAAGCTATATGTAGGCTAAATTTGTGAATCTGGTTAGAAACGGGCTCTAGTGAAATCCTTATTAGGCTCTTCTTGTAAGGCATTGCATTGCTTGCATACCTTTACATTTGTCATGTTCAGCAAAGTTTTGTTTCTTATTTTCCCAAATTTCATCGATGCCCAGATTTTTTTCTTTTTGTACATTTTGTACATAGAAATCGTCTGTTGCTTTTTTAATTTTCACGCAAGCTATATGTAGGCTAAATTTGTGAATCTGGTTAGAAACGGGCTCTAGTGAAATCCTTATTAGGCTCTTCTTGTAAGGCATTGCATTGCTTGCATACCTTTACATTTGTCATGTTCAGCAAAGTTTTGTTTCTTATTTTCCCAAATTTCATCGATGCCCAGATTTTTTTCTTTTTGTACATTTTGTACATAGAAATCGTCTGTTGCTTTTTTTTTTTAATGACCTATGAGATGTACAAATATAATTCTTTGCTAATATATATCATAGAATCAAAACAGCACTCAAATCGCAAGAGGGGGTAATTGACAAAATGGCAACAGGCTAATTGACATAAGCTATAAAGCAGCAGGGTGTCTTTTGTAATTCATATTTATATATGTCGAACAGAGGATAAAACTAAAGAATGAGTTCGCTAAGTGATTTTAACAGTCCCATCTTTACTGCACAGCCCTACATACAAAAGTGTGTTTCGATTTGCTTTTTAATTCTTTTTTAAGTACTAAGAGAGGGATTGTAGGTGTTTCCTATGGTGCTAAACATTTTATCTAATTGAGAAAAATATAGTATTTGGAAAATAAGTAAACTTGTCTGATTGTTTCTTGTAGTATTGGAGAAGCACTATTATTTTACTCTCTCATATAAAGATATTAACAAAGGCATTTTAACTTTGTACTTGAAAAAATAATGATAAATGATGAAAGATACTTATATTGTTTTAGAATAGACATTGCTGTAGTTGGTGCTTATCTGTGGGATCATGTACTCATAATGGGAAATAAAAAAAATGTAATAAATTTTGCTGTTAACATGTACTTGCTTAATATCCAGGCAGAATTGCTATTTGAAAGTCCTACATTCCATGCCATATATCCAGCCCTCCATCCTCTTTTGTTTCGTAGTTAGTTCTTCTCTGTTTTGCTCAATTTCATTTGCTTTCTTTGGGTCTATATATAAATATATGCATTTGGCTGTAACAGCTTCTTGTTTGCTCTCCTTACAGGCTTTCTGTATATCTCAGTGACACTGTTGATATTTGTGATATATTTCTGTTTGTCATAGAAACTTTTTTCAGGCCTTCTCTTCTTTTGCCATCAGCTCATACAGCAAATGTAGCAATCATTCGCCAACCTCTCCCCCTTTCTTTCGTTATGTGCCCAGAACGAAGAAAAAAAGGCTCTTTATGTACTTGTGCTGGAGAATACTTGAATAAAAGTATTGTTTTTTTTTGTTGTGAAAACGTTGTTTGTTTTCTTTGCAAGTATTTACCATAAAATGATATATGATTATTCATTAGATTATTAATTGTATATCATTATTAGTTAAATAACATTTAACTTCTAAAAATATATACATTTTATCCAAGATTTCAATATAATATTATGGAAAGGACACATAATATATATATATATATATATATATATGTGTGTGTGTGCGTGCATGCCTGTGTGTGTGTGCATGTATTTTAATAATTATAATATGAGTAGATTATATTCTAGAGATTATACTATATAGATATTCTAGGTTTTCTAGTTATTCTAGTTTTTTTATAATATGGTATTTCATATATGTAATACTTTGTATATCTGTATGATATTATATATATATATATATATAAAATGGTTTTATTCCGGAAATGACAGAACTTTTGAATTTAAATAATTATATTTATTATAAGCGTAAGAATATGGATACAACTAGAATAAATAGATATAATACTTTGTATACCTATATTATACATTATTTATATTTGTACAATTTATATTTATGTATATTTATAAAAAATAAAATAAAAACAAGTACTTCATGGTCTGGTCCAGTAGCCACTCACTGCAGAACAAAGTTCCAGGGGAGGGGGTTGGATCCACATCTAGGGGGTGGAGATGGTAAATTTAGGGATCAGGGGGTGGAGACGGGTAGGTTTAGGTTTATGTAAGGTGGGAGGAGTTGGATCTGGATCCAACCTCGCCCCCTGGATCTTGTGTTCTGCAGTGAGGACCATCTCGTCTGGTTTGCACGGTTGCCACATTAATGATCCAGTTCCATCCCCTGTAAATCTGTGTAAATGGTACGTACCACTGACGACAGGACACGCCCATACTGCAAAGCCATTGGCCGCTGCTGAGTCCATCGCTGTGGATGTCGCCTGTGATTGGTCAACGCCCGGCTCTCACTGTCTGGGGATGCTGCTGCAAGGTCTACCGAAGCATCTGCCTGTGTGTCTGCCTGCCTGACCGTCTAACAGGCTTTATTGTTCACCAGTGCTGAAAGTGAAGGAAACTCGCTTTTTAAGGATATAACAAAGGAAGTAAGTGTGCTATGTCTCGCTATTTTGCATTCATTTGTCAGTTATTTTAAGAAACTCCTCACTGACTAGCACAGAGATATATTGCTTGGCTCGGAATCCTGTAATTTTGTGGTATGGAAAGAATCTCCCAGTCTTGTGTCTCGTGTTTCCCTTATACAGTATCATTCCTAATGCGAGCTGGTAATTGTTTAACTATCGATTGGACGGTATTTAATAATCTAGTCGATCAATGTGGATGTCGTATATCCACAAACAGCTCGAGCCCACCAGCAATAAACACGATTAAACGCGAGCGCACGCACGACAACTGATATTTCCGTTATGAAGCCGTTGTAATATCCTTATACATTTTGAAAATCCAACTTTGGCATTTCATGATGCCTTGAGGCGTGTTGAATGTGTTGTTTAGAGTAAGGGCTTGGTCGCCCCTTTGTGTGACACCCTCGATATGGTCCAAATGGGATGAGTCTACTTCATCACCATCATCATCATCAGCCTTAAAATGAAGCCTTGTTCATGCAATCTACATATCAGAAGACAACACTGATGCACTGCATTGCACAAATGTGCATGTGTGTACATGGTCATAAAATACCTCTTATAGTCATGTTTACACTTCACGTGACTGCATGCATGCTTTGCAAACTAGAAGTATTTAAACATTCCAGCATGACAATTCAGAAATAATATAGGTTAATACGGTATAATGTTAATATTAAATATATGTTATATTTCCTTCCTTTCATTTTACTGCAATGAACGTTTCAGCATAAAACATGTGAATAATATAATGTATTCTAAAATAATTTGTAAAATATTTTAATTTTAATTTGTAGAATGCATTATATCATTTAAAATATTTGTATGCAATTTAAAATAATATTTAAAATTATGTATATTACATATATTCTTTCTGTCTTTTCATTCCATTTATTTTCCCCATTACCACAATTAACATTTTAAATATATATATATATATTCCATTATTAATTGCACTGATTATTTTTGCTCTAATAGTTCAAATTGCACTAAATGGCCTGTCCTGTTTTATTGAATGGAAGTTGTTTCCACAAGACAGATCAGAAGTTTTCATGAACTTCATACTACCCAGAAGAGTGCCATCTGGATCTCATGGAATATGGCACGGTTCAAAAGTGGGGCATTGTTGAGGAAGTCCTCCATGAGTCACGGCGAGGAACAAATGCTCCAATAATTTTTCTCTGGGCTGTGTTGTGAGGACAAGACAGACGTAGCTCATGCACCGTACTGTTTCTTTTTATAGTAGGATGTCTGAGGACACACCCTTATTCTCCAGCTTCATAGTAGCCCCTCCTTGCACACATACACACATGCCATTCACCATCAGGGGCTCAGAACAGGGGGTGGGGGAACCCTGGGCAGCGCCATACTGTGAATATGCTGCACACACCTGCCCCCGACTCACTTTGCAATGTGGACTCGCGTACACGCTTTCACTTGGGATTAGATCATAAGGAAGTGCGGTGCTGCAGGGAATGTGCAGCAACAGCTGCTAGCCTACATATATTTCCTGCTAACAATCCCACATCCCTGCACATGCAACGCTGGAAAATCTGGGTCAGAATTGCACTGATCATTTTTGAGCATTTAATATGATTTACACACCCTGTTTCTGTAGTGTGTTAGATCGGATGTTGAGGTTTTGTTACATTACTGGGACATTTGTTGCAGTGCTGTTTTAAATTCCTTTAATGTGTCATGAATAATTAACATGTTCATGTGTAACTACCATTTTAAAGGCTGGAGTCGATAATTTGACTAATCATGCCAAGCTGAAGATAATCACACATGCTGGTGTCAGTTTACCCGCTAACGTGAGATTCTAGAATGGTGTAATGCTTTGCAACCTCTTTAAACTAATGTTGTGGAACATTTGTGCTGTTGATATGAATGATTGATCCTGTTTGGATGTCAAGTAAGGACATAGTTGGTTTCTTTAGACCAAATGTGGAAAAATGGTTTGCTGCAAGCACTCCGTTAAGATATGTGATGTCATTCCAAAAGTATGGTGCGTATATTATTATATAAACAGGGTTCCCACTTCCCATGGTCATAGAAAACCTGGAAATATCAGTATAATCTCAAGATAGTAGAACATTTCTGGTCATTTCTGTAGTAACTATATTTAAAATGAATAAATACGCTGCATTTATTTGATAAAAATACAGTAAAAAGGAAAGACAGTAATATTGTGAAATATTAAAATACATGTTTTCTATTGAATATATTTTAAAATGTAATTTATTTCTGTGATTGCCAAGCTGAATTTTCAGCATCATTACTCTTCAGTGTCACATGATCCTTCAGAAACCATTCTAATATACTGAATTGGTGCTCAAGATTAATTTCTTATTATTGTCAATGTTGAAAGCAATTGTGCTGCTTAATATTTTTGTGGAAACCATAATACGTTTTTTTAGGAATCGTTGCTGAATGGAAAGTTCAAAAGAACAACATTAATTTGAAATAGAAATCTTTTGTAATAATGAAAAAAAAACTTTACTGTTATCAATTAATTAATCAATTTAATGCATCCTTGCTGAATAAAAGTATTAATTATTGGATGTAACGATTAACCACGAGCCGGTTGAAAATCTATTTAAATATGTGACGATTCAAATCTGTTGAGATGCTAAACAAATTGCGATTCAATTAGGGCTAGGAGTTTATATGAATGTATGTCTGAGGGGACCTTACTGTCTTTCGAAAAGTTTAGATGGTATTTTTTATTTTCCTTTTGCCTCTGTATAATACATATTAAAGTTAATAAGTGTTTACAGCGGAAACCAAGGAAACACTTTTAAGCGCCACCTGCTGGCAGAGAGTGAATCTGCGTCTCATTAAGCTCTTCTGCTGTTTCTGTTTCATGCAGATATTTTTTATGCGTAGTTTCACAAAACTGAAGTCAAACCATTCTGTTTTTGCTTCAAATTTTGACATTATACAATGTAATTTAGATTAAAAACTAAGGGTAGCTCAGATTGATCGGCTACCGATCATTATCGGTCGATAATCGCTCATGTTGCATGTATGCAGCATCTTTGTTTGGATCATGATTAAAATGCAGTGGTTGCCTCTAATTTTAAATGGAAAGAGCACAGACAAAGCCTTAGTTTGTTTATATGAAGATATTTCTTTTTTGATTTGGGGCTTGTTTTAAAATTTCAATTTAGTTTTATTATTTACATTTACGTTATATTTAAATTTGGTTATTTAGCAGACGCTTTTATCCAAAGCGACTAACAAATGAAGACAATAGAAGCAATCAAAACCAACAAAAGAGCAATAATTTACAAGTGCTATATTAGTATATTATTATAGTGTTCTGTTTCAATTTCACAAAGAAACTTACAGTATTTTGTCCAAGCAATAATAAAATGAAACATTTAATTTATAATTTGTCTTAAATCTCATTTTGTAAAAAAAAAAAAAAATCGCGAAACGAATCATGAAATCAAAATTGTGAATCGAATCGTGAGTTGAGTGAATCGTTACATCCCTAATTATTAGTATATGAAATATTACTGAATGAGTTATAACGACCCTATAGGGTTATATAATACACATCAACGCTTTGTCTTTTGATTTAGATTTTTTTTTTAGGTTGAACCATGTCTTCCAGCTCAGCAACGTTACGCATTCTCATAAAGGGAGGTAAAGTGGTGAACGATGACTTCACACAAGAAGCAGATGTGTACATCGAGAACGGCATTATCCAGCAAGTGGGAAAGGAGCTGATGATCCCAGGTGGGGCCAAGGTTATCGATGCCACAGGAAAGCTGGTGCTTCCGGGTGGCATTGACACCAGTGTTCACCTGAACGAGAGCTTCATGAACGCCAGCACCGCGGATGATTTCTACAGCGGCACCAAGGTATGAAAGCCAGCATGAACTCAGAATTGACTTACATGTTATTGGTCTTATTGAGAATTGTTTATCAGTGCATGTTATTCCAAAAGAAAAAGTTTGTGTTGCTCCATCATCAAGACCTAATTTTTCAATCCCTCTCCTCCAACAACCTTGTCTTTTAAAAATCCATCCAATTGAATGCAGCCTCTTTAACCTTCTGCACGTCAGTGCGTACACTTGCAGTTTTTCCTGATAACTAGGGCTGGGTATCATTCAAAAATGTTCGATACCGATACATTGACTTCGATACTTATTGTTCTGAGCGATACTTTTTTTCGATACCAATTTTATGAAATAAATCTTAACAAGATTACATTATCTAAAAAAAAAAATAAAACTTTGGTTTTATTTTTCAGCTTGTTGATGTTTATACAAACTCAAAATCTCCTGAGCCACTGCACAAAGGAACAAAATGTAACCAACACAATAAATCAGTGCAAATAGTTTTAATAAAGCTCAAATAGTCTTCAGTTTACACATCTGTTAGGCTACATTTACACTAGTGCTTGTTCGTTTTAAAACGCATAGCTCAGACAGAATCATGATTTCTATTTATTTTCCACTGATTTACTGATGAGCATTAGCAGCTTCCAGCGCTGTCTGCCTGTGTTCTCTCTTCCATGATCGCTGCTCTGACTCAGAGGTAATAACATATTTAATTTCAGCAACATTACATGGCCAAAACACACATTAGACGGCAATCAGAAGTTATTACAAACACTCGATGGTGGTTTAAAGTGAGTTTTGAGTAAAAGCGGTAAATATAAATCTTATTTATTGTCTTATGTAGCATGATGCTACAATTTGCATGAATGTTCACGTAACGTGCTTTCTGTCGTGTAGTATGAACGGACATCTGCATATGATCGGAACTCCACGCAGCTCCCGCACTACTCTCCATTGGAACTGAATGACTGAATGACCGGTCTGTCGTTTGTCAGAGATAGTGGGAAGCTGGCTTGAAACACAGTGGAAACGCCAGTATGACGAGGATCGTTTTCATTTTAGAACATAAACGCACCAGTGTAAATGTAGCCTTACATCTAAGGGGGCTGGGACGCATTCGCACTACAGTCTCACGTGTGTGCCACATCTCTGAGTGTAACCGGTTTAAACTAGTAGGTGTGTTCGATTTGATGCCGACTGACTGTGCAGACCGATCGGTGTATTACAGTACCACGAGAGCTAAAGAGAGCAGACTGCTCCGTGCGCTTTCGAATCGCCCTCGCGGATGTCAAACACTGATCGATCTGCGCTGCACCTCTTCTAGTCGAACACACCGGCTAGTGCTGCAGGCTTATTGGTTCACTGACGCTGATGAGATTAACCCCTTAGGTATCGAAATTTGGTACCGAACGACGAGATGTTTTTCGATAGTCGATGTTATCGAGGCATTTCGGTCGGTGCCTAAAAAGTATCGAACTCGATACCCAGCCTTACTGAAAACAGAAAAGACCCTAAAATACTCAGATACAGAGAAGACTAAGATATCAATCAAATCTGTGAAGGGTCTACTTTTATTTGTGTACACTCACAATAACAACAAAACACTGTGTCTTTGTAAAATAAACAAAACAAACAGGGTGCGCTTTCAGCCAACTCGGTCTCCGTGAACTTCTTTCTGAAACGCATCACAAAAATGAACTGAAACTCGGTGAATATTTGACACACAGACTTGAGAAATATGTCTATAGAAAACTTGAAGTGTCTACTTTTAAATGAACCAATTCAAACCGAAAACGAATATTCTCTGATTATGTAATCCATATGAAACCAACGCGAGGTATCCCAGAATCCCAGTCTTTCCCATTTTAGCTCATTCTCTGCAGCCATATCTGTATCTATGTACGAATTTTACTGGTTGGGCTTTAAACTGTCTTGCCAAACTGAAATGTGTGAAAGTGAGTGAAATATGCTGAAATATGATATACATTCAGATAAATAGGCAACTTTTTATTTCATATAGGCTAAATGTCGTTTGATACGAGTATGTAAATATTTTGCTATCATATAATACAAATATGAGATATAATACGATATAGATATAAAGTAATGTGAATGTTTACACTGCAGCATGATGAATGTTACAGTCTAGGATGTCGATGTTTATAATGTGCTAAGCAATAAGAATTTAGTCTATAAAATATCAGAAAGTTGTTTATATATTGTAAAACAAAGCATATGTGCATGAATGACAGTACAAAATCATGATGTTTTTTTTGTTAGGAGTAGACAAAATTAGTATTAGTGACTGCCAATATATGTACACTATGTCAGTGTGTATGAAATATTGTACTCATTACTTTAAAAAGTTTAATGTTTACAGCTTGATACATGTAATGTTGAACCTTTCTTAAGCTTTTTTGTTATTCAGATATTTTGCAGAGTAATTTGTTAACCAAAGAATGTTACATTTTTTTTTATTAAAATGTTTGAGTATTACAGTTGTTTTAAAGCTAAAAGGCTAAACTATTGTTTGACTCAAATTGAAATAATAAATATTTTCATTTCTATTGTCTATGCATCAAGGTTTATATGGATTTTAAGATGTAATTACTGATTTGAGTAATTAAGTTACTTATTGAGTAATTAAATTAATTTTCAGACAGAGTAATTAGAAAATTAATTTAAGTACAATATTGATGATGTAATTAGTAATTACTTATTGAAAGTAACTTAACCAACACTGCTTGGAAATATATCACATTACAGATGTAAAATACTGATTTACGTTGACTGATAATCATATTCGACTAGCTAACTGTACCACTGTTGCCATGGTTATGAATATTTTGATCCCCGCTAAAATAATATGTAATTAATTTAAACAGTAAATTCGTAAATTCTTCAAGTGCCGTGGTGCTCATGTGGAAAACAGGTTTGAATGGGCATGTGTCACATACCAGTCCCATCCCTTCTTACAGCAAAATTATTTTCTTTTCCTTCTCAACTGTCACAAAAAAAAGGCCCAGAATATCATGTTTTGTATTGTCTCATTAGTACGCAGTATCACATGTAGCATGCGGGATAAAATAGAAATTGTGGCCACAAATTAGGAATTTATTACCAAAACTTAATTAGTGGCAATGTTTTATTAATTTATTCCCTCATTTTAATTTAGGTCAATTGTGACCACCATTTACCGAATGCAAGGGAACAAATTACTAAGTTGTTGTAACAATTTAATAATTCTTAATAAACCCCAATATCTTATTTTTTCCCCATATGTAGGATTTTTTTTTGTAGATTAGCTCAATCTAATGTAAAAGAAGGGAGGTTATTCAAATGTCTTCAGGCTTCAGCTTTGTCACTACTAAGATGATATGAAGTGGTTCCAGTTGGGGTATATAGAGAAAAAGCATAAGCAAAAGATTGATTTTTTGACTTCGGACCCCCCACACCTTGGGTGGCTCCCACCATCTGCCAGGGGTCTATTATCGCACAACAACTCAGTAAGTTCTTCTTTAACTATTATGGTAGTACTGCTTAGAGTATTACACAGTTTTTCAAAAATGTATTTAGATTTATTTTTATTTTTTGCATTATATGACTGTATGTTATGCAATATGAGTTTTTTCTTTTTTCAGATAAGCATTTTTATACAGTGGAAGATCTAAACTAAAATGATGTGTGATGTAGCATCCATTTAATGTCACATTAATTTGTTCTTGTTTTATAAATAGTTCAAAAGCAGAGATGCACTCGCTTCAGCAGCCCTGCCTAAATAAATCCCATGGGTCACTTAGCAGACACTGAGATGCAAGAGTGAGCATTGCACACACACACAAACAGTCTGGTCCATCAACCGCAGGGCACGATTCACCCTCACAAATACATACACGCTCTTATTCCGAATAATAAAGAGTTGTTATCGGCGCTGTTATTGTTAGCCTTGGCAACACAAGTGGCATTCTCTTCCCCCTCCTCCCCGCTACCGCCATGAGACTCGCCAGGCGCAGAGACAAATGGAGATCAGATTCTGTTTCCATAGATACGGGAGCACTGCTGCAAAGACTGCTGCAAAAGCCTTTCACTCGTGCCATTGTGCTGTAAGACAATGGTGCATAAATACATGCCCCTTCAGTGGATGTGGCTGCCTGGATTGTGTCAGCTGATAGATGCTTTTAAAGAGGACCATTTTTTGTGGTTGAACTGTTAGTCATTGTTTCCTTGTACTGAAAAAAGGCCTTCTACTAATTGTGTATTTTTCTGTAAAACATTATGCTCAGACAGATATTGTGGCATATTAATTAGTGGAGTTGGGTAAGCCATTATGAGCAATTCATATTATTATTATTGTATAATATTTTGGTGGATAACCAACACTGTCTTTGCTAAAGACGTGAAACAGCCAAAAAAAACTCCTTAACACCCTAAACAACCATCAGAACAGCCTTACAATGCCCTAAAAATGATCATCCCAGCAGCCACTAGAACACATTAGTAATGCCTGTAATACCCTAAAAACTGCCAAAGCACTTTAAAATAGCCTAGGAATTCCCTAGCAATGACCTAGAAATGATCAGATCATCCAAGCAGCCAGCAAAACACTTTAAAAACAGCCTTGTAATTCCCTTCCAACAATCAGATCGACCCTGCAAAGAACCTAGAAACAATCAGTATATCCTAACCAGAAGAACACCTTAAAACAGCCTTTCCCCAGCAACCACCTAGCAATGCCCTGGCAACCACCAGAAAACACTTACGATGCCCTAGGAATAATCACAGCAGCAACCAGAGCACCCTAGTAATGCCCATAATGCCCTAGAAACCTCCAAAACACCTTAAAACAGCCTATGAATTCCCTAGCAACCACCAGATTACCTAAGCAATGACCTAGAAATGATCAAAAATCCTAGCAACCAGCAGAACACTTTAAAAACAGTCTTGCAATTCCCTAACAACAATCAGAGCATCGCGGCAACTACCAGAACACCATATTAATGCCCATAATCAGGCCCAGCTCCAGAATCAAATCACTGAGGGTGCTTCTTAAATTAGTTAGGGTGCTCTCGCTCTCTCTCTCGCTATATATATATATATTGTCGCGGGGTGAATGAGAACACAGACTCGGTACTGACCGAAAGAGCCCCGGAGGGTGATTTATTGCCCACACACTGATCACTCGTGCTCTGAGGAATGGTGCTCGGTGCCCGTCTCAGCGCGGTGCTCGTGGGGTGAAGTGCCGTGGTGCAGATCCCTCTCCCAGGGTGCCTTCGGAGTCTGTGAACAATCAGAAATGAGCATTAATATCGCATGGAGCTCTGGGGTGCCTTCCCGCTGGTGTCTCTTCTCCTGGCTTTTAAGGCCAGCGGGAACGAGCTCCAGGTGCGCCACTCATTGCGCACAGGTGTTGTGCGTCGGTGATCAGTGTGGCAGCAGTGTTTCCAGGGCGACGCTAATCTGGACTCGGGTTACTCGCCACATTCCCCCCCCTAGGCGTCGTCCTGTGGGGAAACACACAACTCATTGTGGGGTATTACGGGGGGGGAATTTCTGGTTACCTGCCAGACCTGCCCAACCGGACCAGCCCCGGAAGAGACCGTCCGCATTCCCGTGATCGGCCCCGGCCCGATGTTGTACTTGGAAGTCCTGAAGTCCTGGAGTGCGAGGAACCACCGTGTCACCCGGGCGTTTGTGTCCTTCGCCCAGGACATCCATTGCAGGGGCGCATGGTCGGTGACGAGGGTGAACCGGCGGCGCCAAAGGTAATACTTTAACTCCAGGATTGCCCACTTTATGGCCAGGGCCTCTTTCTCCAGGGTGGCGTACCTGGTCTCCGCGGGGGAGAGTTTCCAGCTGATGTAGACTATGGGGTGTTCCTCTCCATCCCGGAGCTGGGAGAGGACTGCCCCTAAACCGGTGCCGG